CAAAGAAAAGGCAGGGGTTGCAATCCTAGTCTCTGATAAAACAGATTTTAAACCAACAAAGATTAAAAGAGACAAAGAAGGGCATTACATAATGGTAAAGAGATCAATGCAACAAGAAGAGCTAACTATCCTAAATATATATGCACCTGGTATAGGAGCACCCAGATTCATAAAGCAAGTTCTTAGAAACCTACAAAGAGAGTCAGACTCCCACACAATCCACACAATAATAGGGGGAGATTAACACCCCACTGTCAGTATTAGATCAACAAGACAGTTAATCAAGGATATTCAGAACTTGAACTCAGATCTGGACCAAGCAGACCTAGTAGACATCTACAGAATTCTCCACCCCAAATCAACAGAATATATATTCTTCTCAGCACCATACAGCACTTATTCTAAAATAGACCATATCATTGGAAGTAAAACACTCCTCAGCAAATGCAAAAGAACAGAAATTGTAACAAACTCTCTCAGACCACTGTGCAATCAAATTAGAACTCAGGATTAAGAAACCCACTCAAAACCACACGGCTACATGAAAACTGAACATTCTGCTCCTGAATGACTACTGGAAAAATAACAAAATCAAGGCAGAAATAAAGATGTTCTTTGAAACCAGTGAGAATGAAGACACAACGTACCAAAATCACTGGGACACATTTAAAGCAGTGTATAAAGGGAATTTTATAGCACTAAATGCCCCAAGAGAAAGCAGGGAAGATCTAAAATTGACACTCTAATGTCACAATTAAAAGAACTAGAGGAGCAAGAGCAAACAAAATCAAAAGCTAGCAGAAGACAAGAAATAACTAAGATCAAATCAGAACTGAGGGAGATACACAAAAAACCCTTTAAAAAAAAAATGAATCCAGAAGGTGGTTTTTGAAAAGATCAACAAAATAGACAGACCACTAGCCAGTCTAATAAAGAGAGAAGAATCAAATAGATGCAATAAAAAAATGATAAAAGGGATATCACCACCAATCCTACAGAAATACAAACTACCATCAGAGAATACTTTAAACAACTCTATACAAATAAACCAGAAAATCTAGAAGAAATGAATACATTCCTGGACACTTACACCCTCCTAAGACTAAATTAGGAAGAAGTTGAATCCCTGAATAGACCAATAACAAGTTCTGAAATTGAAGCAGTAATACCAACCAAAAAAAGCCCAGGACCAGACAGGTTTACAGCCAGATTCTACCAGAGGTACAAAGAGGAGCTGCTACCATTCCTTCTGAAACTATCCCAAACAACAGAGAATGAGGGAATCTGCCCTAACTCATTTTATGAAACCAACATCATCCTGATATCAAAACCTGGCAGAGACACAACTAAAAAAGAAAATTTCAGGCCAATATCCCTGATGAACATTGATGAAAAAATCTTCAATAAATGCCAGAAAACTGAATTCAGCAGCACATCGAAAAGCTTATCCACCATGATCAAGTGGGCTTCATACCTGGGATGCAATGCTGGTTCAACATACGCAAATAAACATAATCTATCACATAAATAGAACCAATGACAAAAACCACGATTATCTCAATAGATGCAGAGAAGGTCTTTGACAAAATTCCAAAGCCCTTCATGCTAAGAACTCAATAAACTAGGCACTGATGGAACATATCTCAATATAGTAAGAGTCATTTATGACAAAACTACAGCCAATATCACACTGAATGGGCAAAAACTGGAAGCATTCCCTTTGAAAACAGTCACAAAACAAGGATGCCCTCTCTCACCATTGCTATTCAACACAGTATTGGAAGTTCTGGGCAGGGCAATCAGGCACGAGAAAGAAAGTAAGTGTATTCAATTAGAAAAAGAGAGGGTCAAATTATCTCTATTTACAGATGACACGATTTTATATTTAGAAGACCCTACTGCCTCAGCCCAAAATCCCCTTATGCTGATAAGCAACTTCAGCAAAGTCTCAGGATACAAACCAATAAGCAAAAATCACAAGCATTCCTATAAACCAACAATAGAGAGCCAAATCATGAGTGCACTTCCATTCACAACTGCTACAAAGAGAATAAAATACCCAGAAATACAATTTACAAGGGATGTGAAGGACCTCTTAAGATGAACTATAAACAATTGCTCAAGGAAATATGAGAGGACACAAACAAATGGAAAACCATTCCATGCTTATGGTTAGGAAGAATCAACATTGTGAAAATGGCCATACTGCCCAAAGTAATTTATAGATTCAATGCTATCCCCATCAAACTACCATTGACTTTCTCCACAAAACTGGAAAAAATTACTTTAAGTTTCATAAGGAACCAAAAAAGAACCTGCATAATCAAGACAATCCTAAGCAAAAAGAACAAAGCTGGAGGCATCACACTACCTGACTTCAAACTATACCAAAAGGCTACAGTAATCAAAACAGCATGGTACGAATACCAAAACAGACATATAGACCAACAAAACAGAACAGAGGCCTCAGAAATAATGACACATATCTACAATCATCTGATCTTTGACAAACTTGACAAAAACAAGCAATGGGGAAAGGATTCTCTATTTAATAAATGGTGTTGAGAAAACTGGCTAGCCATATGCAGAAAGCTGAAACTGGATACCTTCCTTACACCTTACACAAAAATTAGCTCAAGATGGATTAAAGATTTAAATATAAGACCTAAAACAATAAAAACCCTAGAAGAAAATCTAGGCATTACCATTCAGGACATAGGCATGGGCAAAGACTTCATGACTAAAACACCAAAAGCAATGGGAACAAAAACCAAAATAGGCAAATGGGATGTAATTAAACTAAAGAGCTTCTGCACAGCAAAAGAAACTATCATCAGAGTGAACATGCAACCTACAGAATGGGAGAAAATTTTTGCAAAATATCCATCTGAAAGGGCTAATATTCAGAATCTACCAAGAACTTAAACAAATCTACAAGAAAAAAACAATCCCATCAAAAATTGGGCAAAGGATATGAACAGACACTTCTCAAAAGACATTTATGCAGCCAACGGACATATGAAAAAAAGCTCATCATCATTGGTCATTAGAGAAATGCAAATGAAAACCACAATGAGACACCATCTCATGCCAGTTAGAATGGCAATCATTAAAAAGTCAAGAGGCAACAAATGCTGGAGAGGATGTGGAGAGATAGGAACGCTTTTACACTGTTGGTGGGAGTATAAATTAGCTCAACCACTGTGGAAGACAGTGTGGCAATTCCTCAAGGATCTAGAACCAGAAATACTATTTGACCCAGCAATCCCACTACTGGGTAATATGTCCAAAGAAGTATAAATCATTCTATTATAAAGAAACGTGCACGTATGTTTACTGGCAGCACTGTTCACAATAGCAAAGATGGAACCAAACCACCAACCCAAATGCCCATCAATGATAGACTGCATTAAAAAAATGTGGCACATATACACCATGGAATACTATGCAGCCATAAAAAGGATGAGTTAATGTACTTTGCAGAGACATGGATGAAGCTGGAAACCATCACTCTCAGCAAATTAACACTGGAACTGAAAACCCAACACCACATGTTCTCACTCATCAGTGGCAGTTAACAATGAAAACACATGGACGCAGGGAGGGGAACATCACACACTGAGGCCTGTTAGGGGGTAGGAGGCTAAAAGAGGGATAGCATTAGGAGAAATATCTAATGTAGGTGGTCGAGTGATGGATGCAGCAAACCCCTATGGCACATGTATACCTATGTAACCAACCTGCATGTTCTGCACACGAACCCCAGAACTTAAAGTATAATTTAAAAAAAAAACTTACTCATGCAACCAAATACTACCTGTACCCCAATAGCCTATGGGAAAAAAAAATAAAAAGATAAAAATTAAAATTAAATAACAACATAAAATACAAAAACTTCCAAAAAAAAAAAAATTAGGAATATATTAACTAGACTAGACTACAAATGCTACCCTTCTCTCCTGGTCACAAGGTGGGACAACTTTCCTATGATAACCAGAAAGGTAAATGGCAATATAAAATCTTAATATTTAAAATGCAATGTTATAATGAGTTTCATTAAAATGTATGTTTTAAGAAACTTTCCAGTCTATAGGACTAAAGAAAAAGTGCCTAGAACTTATCAGAATATCACCCTTGTTGCTGAATCAAGGTCAGAGTAGAAACTTTAGTAGGATTTTAATACCTAAGTACACTAAGGTACTTCATTACCAGTGCTATTTTATTAAGGAAAAAGAAGTTCTCTCTTTAGCTTTGAACATTCAGATGAACCAGCAAGGTACTTCATTACCAGTGCTAGTTTACAAAGGAATAGCAAGTTCTCCCTTTAGCTTAGAACATTCAGATGAACCAGCAAGGGCCGACAAATAGTGAGAAGCTGAAGAAGACTGGGGAACCCTCATTCCAGTGACATATGTTGTTTTTCCCCAGAGGCCCTAAGAACAAACTCCTTCAGAATTCTCATTTACTCCAAAGCAGAAATCTTCCAGCTTGTCATTAAGTTACCCTGAAATCTACAGCTGAAAAACCAAAAGAATTCAACACTACGAAGTATTTTCTTCTTTACAAAATACTCCCCTCACGCTGCGGACATTAGGAGAGATGCAAAAGGAAATGATGGGATTAATAAGGAAAAAGAAGGAAGCACTGCTTATACACATGTTTACCGGAGAAAAAGTATGTATGTAAATTTCATTATGTACAAAGCAGCTTTCAGTTAACTTTATGAAGTGATTAACTGACAAAACAAGATTAAAAGAATGGTAAATACTAGCATGAGTTATTCAACCACAGCAGTGATATCACTAGTTATGCAATTCAACCAGTGTATCAAGCCAAAGGAGCCATCTGACCCATTTCAGTGCCATCCTCCTAGCCCCCTGGAGAGACTGCATCCAGCTCTTAAAGACAGGGCTAAAGAGAAGGGTAGAGATGAGAAGGAATCAAGAGGAGAAAAACATCTGCTAAACAGCGAAACAGAGGCCAACAGATTGAAGTCATACTTTCTTATCTCTCTGTTTCATCTTCATGGTTCTCTGTTCCAGTGAGTACCCCAGTTCTCTGGCTGTTTCTGTGAGTTTTTCATCTATGTTTTTCAAGAGATTGGTTTTCTTTTTATCCGTTACTTCTTTAAGTTTTTTCATCAAAAATAATCTGAAAAAGAAGTAAAAGTCCTCATTATATTGCAGGCCACTGTACTAAGTACAAAGACCTTTGGAAATTGAGCCAAGTTAAAAATGTTAAATTCCATGCAAGAATAAGTCCACAGAATAATTACCAACACTTCTCTTGAAATCCCTAACAATTTTCTTCAAATAAGAGAAAAGCAGTATTAATAAAAACTGCCAGTCACAGAAAGAGAAAATATGGTTCAAATTTATATTAGCACTCTAATGTCTACAATAAAGATTTAAAAGATATTTGCAAAACTGGGATTAGTCAAGTTTTATTACTTTCACACACATAGTGCTCCCTTACCTAAAACATCCTTCTTCCTACTCTTTCTAGTAAGTTCTTAGGCACCCATCAAAGCCCACATAAAATATCCTCTTTTACCTCCACCACTATTGAAGGCACTTGGTAGTTGCCTTCCTATACATATCACATTATTATGACTATCTCTGAGTTTGTCTCTGTCTAAACCTACTCTAACACTTTGCTATGTGATGCTTAAAGATAAGGTGCAATGTACAACTGAAGCTATAGCCATGAACATGAACATTTTATGCTTTGACTTTAAATCCATTAAAATGTGTTGAATGCAAACAAATTTATTCCCAAGCATGTTACATGGCATCATGCAATGGCCCTTTGGAAATAGTGGCTAAGTTATTAGACGTAAAAGTTGAAACTTACATATCAAATTCACCCCATCACATAACATTAGAAAAAAAAAAAGCTATTGAGCTCACAGTGGTATTACAAGTTTCTCAATCTAATTTTTGTTCGAAACCTTGAATTTTATCACTCGCAAAAAATATAGTCAGTTGTTTTCTTTGGTTCATTTCAGAAAATTTCTGCCAGTATCTAGATCCAAATAACCAGAGTTTGTCAGAGTCACTCTTTCTACAAGTGGGAAAAAGTTCATCTTAAAACCCAATCACACAAGTGCTTTTTCCCTTGAGACAAACCACAGTACTTCACTATGAGAGATGCTTTCTATGTATTTCCTATTTCATCACAGAATGTTAAAGATATATACTCAATGGCAGACATCTAATACATGTATACTCCATCACTGACATTTTTTTCAGGGACAGGGTCTTGCCATGTTGCTCAGGATAAACTTGAACTCCTGGGCTCAAGCAATGCCCCCACCTCAACATCCTGAGTAGCCACCATGCCTGGCTCCATCACAAACATTCTTAAACACATTTGCATGTTACTGCTGTAAATAATGCAATGACTGCTGCTATTCTAGTGGCACTATCTTGATTCCTGCCAAGGTGACAACAGTATTATCCACTATTACCTTTGTGCCATTGATGCAAAAACATTTTAAATCACAAATAGTTTTGACCCTAAGAGTGTCTGACCCAAGGTCAAAACTATTTGCCCCAGTTATTTTAGGGAAGAAAAAAAAGGTAGAAGGAAAAAAAATCATTCCTAACTTTGCTGTTCAAGGATATTTTAAAATTGAGTATGTTTATTTCCATATGCTTTAGACAGTATGAAATAGAATCATTCTACACTATTGTTATTTGCTCACTTCATAACAAATTCAACCAATCAATACTAAGGTACTATAGCATATGGATAGTTTATATTTACCTAATCTTCTACACTGCTGGATATGTTGTTGCCATTTTTTCATTGAATAAACTATCTGTAATAAACACACGTATTTCTGTACCTGTCCAAAATATGTTTGATGAAGAGCTAGAAGTGGAATTGCAAACATAAGGGTATAAATGTGTACTTCACACAGTACCTGGTAATGTAATCTATTAAGAAATCTTAGACTATGGTTGTTTAAACATTTTTCAAACTGCTTTCTACAAAGGTTTCACCAATTAACACATCAGTAAGGGTTCTTATACCCTAACCATCATTGGTTATTACCATTCTTTAACCTTTAAAAATCTTTGCTGGCTTAATTTGCATGTCTTCAGTTACTATTAAATCTTGCAGAAACAATTCTTTCTCTGGGCATAACATTTGGAGATCAGAGGTCTGCCTTGAAAGACCTTACTCCCTCTGCCATAAAAATAAATTTTAAAATATATAAAGAAATTAAGTGTTCTGATTAGCTGATTTAAGGAAGTGGTACCCAAAAAAACTAAAACCGTTATAATATTTTAAAAGTACTAACATAGTTATATCTCAAGTAATTTTTTACCCGTGTTTGATAAATTATTGGAGGTAGTTCCTCAAATACTTACTTGTTGATAATCACCTAAATTAATTATATTATCACCATGTATTTTTTTCTTCTTTTTCATTGTGTTCTCCAATTAGTTAAAAAATAAAAAAAGATACCAGAAGAGTCAGGTTATGTTAGATGACCACTATTATGTTATCTTTCTTTTAAAAAAAGATTTCTATTAAGACAAACATGACTAATAATACAAATAAAAAATTAGGTTTGCTTTTTAAAAAGAGACAGTCTTACTATGTTGCCCAGCCTGAATAAATTAGATGTTTTTACACGCCAAGGTATTTGTAGAATACTTATGAAGCATCTACTATGGAACAGATACTGTGCACACAACAAAGTCTCTGCCCTCATGGAACCTGCATGCTAGTGCAAGAGACAGACAATAAGCAAGTAAATAACAACAGTTTCTAATAAAGATGGCACCAATTTAAATAGAATGATAAATCCAAAGAGTTTAGAAGAACTTATAAATTACAAATACCAAGCAATGTTTTATAGGAATCTGAGAGGTATTAGAAAAGAAAGAACATTTTTGGATATCTACAATGTAGCTGCCCCATAGATACACCAGTTTGTACATGGCACAGTCTAGTGGTTATACTAGGTTGACTTCGTTTGAACTTGCTTTACTGCAAATTTGTATTATCAAATCACAGTGAACAAAAGCCCTTTAAAGAGACAATACTAAAAGAGGCCAAACAAAACAATCTACTTGTATCTGAAGTGAAGTTTGCTTTCTTCATTACAATGCAAACTACACAGCTACTGACAAATGAAATGGCTTCAAATCACATCTATGGCTGATATAGCATAGACTGGCTCACTCAGCTCTATTCCAATCCCTTCCCGATGAACGTTTACTGCATTTCCCATACTACTCTAGCTTAGGCTCCACATGGGACCTAGCTTCTTCCAAGCAGCTGCAATACTTTGAAATCTCAGAGGCAGAAGAGATACCAGGTGGAGGCTGGGCTTCCACAATCTCCATCAGTGAGCACAGCTGTAGAGGCATCTGCTTCTGCAGCAGCTGTAGCTGAGATCCCAGCACCTGGTTCTTAGCTTCACTGGGGCTGGGAGGCAAAGGGTAGGGCATCAATTTACCTGGCACAGGTTATACTAAAGATAATATGGTCCTAGAGCCACCCATTGTGGCAGCAGTTTTCGGATTTCCCAGCTTCCTGATGGTGGCAGAGATATAAAATCCACTGTGAGCCACAGGACTGTCATTCCTAGAAGCTCAACCTGCTCCCTTATCCCTTCCAAGGATTTTATAAGCATCTCTTTTTCACTTATTAAACCTTTCTGTTTCAACTAAACATAAGTAATGAACTCTTAACAAGTATTTAAAATCAGATGTCTAAAAAAACTTTTGATTTTGCCATGAAACATCTGAGGTCAAGTGTTATTTTCATTAAGTAAAATAGTTACTTCAGAGGTGTTATTTTTTGAATAGTGACAAAATAACAGTATAGATAAGACTACCTGCAAAAGTCATGAAAATTATCTCTAGAAATCTACAATTATGGGCTTGCCTCAAACCTGTTTTTTGTTTTTTTTTTTTTTTGGAGATGGGAGTCTTATTTTGTCGCTCAGGCTGGAGTGCAGTGGCACAATCACTGCTCACTGCAACCTCCAACTACCGCGTTCAAGTGATTCTCCTGCCTTAGCCTCCCGAGTAGCTGGGATTACAGGTGTTTGCCACCATGCCCCCGGCTAATTATTGTATTTTTAAGCAGAGATGAGGTTTCCCCATGTTGGCCAGGCTGGTCTCAAACTCCTGACCTTAGCAATCCACCCACCTTGGCCTCCCAAAGTGCTGGAATTACAGGTGTGAGCCACTGTGCCCAGCCCCCTCACACTCCCATTGTAATGGACTAATATAAAAATTGTAAACATAAGAGAAATTAAAATATTCTTACTTGACTGCAGCAAATACATTATCTCCATTTGGAATGATTATACAATTTTTCTTGGCTTCATTTATACCAACATATACAGGAAGTTCATCAGGAGAATCCCTATTTAAGCAAAAGACAAAAAATTTAGCTGCCCATAATTTATATTATCAGGCAAGTGGAATTTTAGGTCTACAGACAACAATTTAGACCTTTTTTCCTTTTTTTAAGGTCTCGTTTATAAGGTCTTTTATTTTTTTAATTGAAACATATTTGCCAGTTTTAAGCTCCAAGTTTCTTAGGAATATCTATGACAAATCTTATATTATAGAACCTAAAACTAAGATTCTTAGGACCTAGTTGCTTTTATACTCAAACAAAAAAAAAAAGAAAAAAGAAAAAACAAGAGAAAAGATTGTAAAACATTAGAGATGAAAAGATCATATTCACATATATAACCAAATCATTTTAAAATTGAGGAAACAAATACTGAGAGGTTCAATTGCTCGGCCAAGGTCCTTGTAAGTTAGGTATAATTCAATTCCTAGCCCCATGCACATTCTATCGCACTACAGTATTTCTTCCTGGGCACGTTTCTTCTATTACATTACACTTCACCTTCACTTTAAAGGACAGCATCTCTACTAGTACAAGCGGACAAGGTATTTTCCTCCTGGAGTTTTTTAACCTTCTAAGTATTTTGCATGAATTCACTTAATTCTGATGATATTCCTATCAGGTACGTACAATTATGATCCCTATTGCTACAAGACAGGAAACTGAGTCACAGAAAGTCACAGTCACTAATGATACACAGTCACACAGATAATAAACAAGAGGACCAACGTGACTCCAGAGACCACTCTTAGCTCCTAGTTGCCACTCTGGCACCTGGAAACACACGGCTTATTAAGCACAAGTCATAACAGCTGTTCTAAATTATTTTATCGGGCCAAAAGAGCTCTTCTGAACCCAAAAGGGAAAAAAAATTTACAAGGAAAGGAAAAACTAACGAGATTAAACCTAAAGAGTTTACCCATCCTAGTGAAGGTGAAGATGGTAAGAGCAAGAACATGGCTCATATATCCACCAACAGGGGAAAATATGCCTTTCACCTTGAGTGAGGCTAGTGAATCACTATTTATCCTCATTAGCAGGACAGCAGCTATAGTTTAGAGGCGAAGAAAAGACCTTTACCTGAAATACCCCATGTGGTACTGAGTTTTATTATCTCCAATAATAATGGTCTGAAACTCAGGAGGATCATAGTAAAACCTCCAATGAAGGTTAAAATTTGGGCCTGTTGATTTTTTCTTCATTTTATGTTTTCCAGCAAGGATATCATAAGGACCAACTAACTGAAGTCCAAGACTTGCAGAAAGTGAATCTATAAAAGAAAAAACATTTAGTCAAGACTTTCTGGAGACAGGAAATAATGCTTTTAGTTAGTAAACTATTTCTAAGCAATTGCCTTTAAAATGTTTCTAAAGTAAAAGAAAATCTTGAGTTGTGTGTGAAGATGTCAGTTACAAACATTCAATGGAAAAGAAGTCAGAGTAACAGAAAAGTGGCATTTACATTTAGGATTTCCTCTGAAATTTACCACTGAATTAGTTTAACATTTCAAACATTCCTACTGTTTTAGTTTAGCCAAAGCAAGACTGGCCTGTATTCCTCTAGGCCCATTATCACACTGCAGTTAGCCTCAAATACTTGTAGTACACCACAGGTGTACTTGTAGTACACACAGGTTATAGCAAAAATGTGTGGATTAAGAGCAGTAAGCAACAGGTCAGGTGTGGTGGCTCACACCTGTAATCCCAGCGCTCTGGGAGGCTGAAGCAGGCTGATCACCTGAGTTCAGGAGTTCGAGATCAGCATGGCCAACATGGCAAAACCTAAAAATACAAAAATTAGCCAGGTATGGTGGCTCACGCCTGTAATCCCAGCTACTTGGGAGGCTGAGGTACAACAATCACTTGAACCAGGGAGGCAGAGCTTGCAGTGAAATGAGATCACGCCATTGCACTCCAGTCTGAACGACAGGGTGAGACTTTGTCTCAAAACAAAACAAAACAAAAAGAGTAAAAAACATTTCTATCACTCTTTCCTCTACCTCAGCTAATCGCACCAGATTCCCGATTCTCTGACAGTCTATTTGGCCAACCCTAACCCTAGATGATTCCATCTTCCTTCTCTATTCACAGATCACAGACAGGGAGTGTTAATAAACCACAAAGATATGAAGTCTGTGCAAATATACAATGTATAACTTCAAATGGATCCTTGCTGCTTCTAAGAAAGAGAGCACTCCAGGCAGGACCCAGTTTTATAAGGAGGCAAAAATGAAGGAAGCAAAAACATTCCTGGAATAACATGAATAGAAGGATGGAGATAGTTTGACGGGAAAAATAGTTCAGCTCAACTGCAGCTTAAGAGAGCATACACTAAATTATAAAGCAACAAGAAAACTAAAGCCATCCATCCCATTACCCAAAAATAACACAGTTAATAGTCTAGTATACACTAACAAATTTCCATACTCTTCACCCCGATGAACAGATACAAATATGTAACAAACTGGGAAGGGTTGTTTTGTAATCTGCCTTTGTCCTCCATCCTGATGTCCCACTTAAATTTTCTGAATATTTTTCCATGTTATTCAATGTTATTTTACATGATTTTTTTAACAGGGCATGATACTGCATTATAAAGAGGTAACCATCTATTCTCTTACTGATGGAGATTTACTATTTTTTTTTTTGTTCTAAAAATGTTCAGTGAATATCTTTGCTAATGTTTGTACACGGACATGGCTATTTTTAAAGAAACTATACACAGTTCTGTTCTGGGAAAATTCAGAATATGTATCAATGTACATTTCCATCAATAGTGTATGACACTGCTTACCAGTTTTCCATCAATAGTGTATGACACTGCTTACTAGTTAAAAAATTTAAACAATACAAAAGGGTATATAGTGCAAAGTAATGATCACAGCCCATTAATAGTTTTTTTCCTTTCAGAGACAAAGCAAGCATAGAAAAGCACACAGGGATATGTTTGTGCTCCCCCTCCCCCTTTTAAAAAAATACTAATGGTAGTATATTCTATATACACTCTTCTTTTTCACTTAACATATTTCAGGCATGATAGTTTATTATTTCCTAAAAATATGCTTAATTCTTTTAAAACAATGAAGATCTATTGAATAGTTGTGTTATTTGTAGGTATTTAAGCCATTTCGCATTTTTTGTTTAAGTAAATATCCTCAAACATAATTCTTAGTTTATCTAATCCATAAGACAAGTTCTTGGAAGCAGAACCGTTAACTCAAACTCCTGCAACATATGAAAGTGCTTACTTTCCTTCACATTCCCCCAGAATGCGATGAAATTATTTACCTTTGCCAATAAACTAGGTGACAGTGGCATTACTATAGCATTAATCTATATTTACTATATTTTCTTACTAGAAACATCTTGGAAAACATTCCTTTTCTATGAACTGTTTATATCCTTGGTTATGTTTTTAAATAATTTATATACATATATTTTTTTTTTCTTTTTCTTTTTTTCAGACAGGGTTTTGCTGTTGCCCAGGCTAGAGTGCAGTGGTATGATCTCAGCTCACTGCAGCCTCTGCCTCTGCGGTTCAAGGGATGATCATACTTCATCTTCCCGAGTAGCTGGGACTACAGGGGTGTGCCACCACGCCCAGCTAAGTTTCGTATTTTTAGTAGAGACAGGGTTTCACTGTGTTGCCCAGGCTGTCTCAAACTCCCGAGCCCAAATGATCTGTCTGCCAAGTGGTGGGAGATCCCAACCTTCCAAAGTGTTAGGATTAAAGGTGTGATCCACCATGCCTGGCCAATTAATATATTCTCTAGAGACAGGGTCTTGCTCTGTCACTGAGGCTGGAGTGATCATAGCTCACTTCAACCTCAAACTACTGGGCTCAAGGAAGGATCCTCCCATTTCCGTCTCCCAAGTAGCTAGGACTATAGGAACAGGCAATCATGGCTAGATTCTTTTTTTTTTTTTTTTTTCAATTTGTTTTGCAGTAAAGAGGTCTTGCTATGTTAATGCAGGTCTCAAACTCCTGGCCTCAGGCAATCCTCCTGCCTCAGCTGAGATTACAGAGTGTAAGCCACCATACCCAGCCTGTTTCCTATTACTTTTTCCATATATACAAAAATGATTCCAGAGCAACTCACCAGCTGGCTTTTCAGGATCAAGTTCTTCACAGAACTTCCAGAAGTGATAGAAATCTTCAGGTAAAGAGAGCTTATAATGATTTTCTACTTCTTTTCGAAGGTCACTGGAGACATCAGCTTCATAAAATTTACTTTTCTTCATATCAACTGTGTTTTCACTCTGAAAATTGGCACACAAAACTTTATTTCTCCAAATTATCTTCAGTAATTTCAGTAACTCTCCTTGCATAACATCACTCACTCTTCTTTACCCAACTCTATGAGATAGTATATGTATTTTCCTTAAAACTCTCTAAATAGTATTTGAGTAAAATCTGGGAATTCCTTTGGGCACAGAAAAAAAGAATAGTTTACATGGTTAAGAGGAATCCACACAGCAAGTCTTTAAATATATTTTTCTAAAATAATGGAAACCACGAAAAACAAAAAGGTAAAAAAGGTACTAGCAGGAAGAGAGGAATAAAGAAAGGGCAAGTTTTGCCCTCTTTTGGTTAAACATGTGAGTCTTTTAAGCAGATTCATTGATTACACCAGAAAACAGAAGTAACTGGATATAAGCAATGTATCATTTAAAAAGCTATTTCTTCAGCAACATCCAGAGCTGTGTCTGAACTATTCACTACAATCATTACCCAGCCATAAAAACAGACACCTCCCTTTTGATTTTCCAAATAAAGAGGGAAGGTTAAACATTCTCTTTAACTATGTTAAACATCTACAGTTCCTAACAAAGTTAACAGAATAGCACTAAACTCTAGGCCAAAAATCCAATTATTTCAGAAAAAACCTTTTAATGCCAGGATTAGGTTACAATACTCATCACTAGCACCACTGCAATATAGGTTCAGTATGCTAGGTTTTATAATGCCTATTAGATATTTGATAAATTTCTTTAAAGATAATATACATAACTGGAGGTTACATATGTTTAGTCTTCTAAGAAGCAATCAGTTTTTCTTTCTAGGAACCCAGACTCTTTTTGGATTCTTTCCTTTTCATTCTTTCTATTTAGAGCAGTGGTTCTCCACTGGTGGTGATTTTGCCCCACAGGGGACATTTGGAGCTCTATGTAGTTGTAATGAATTGGAAGAAGGGTACTAGTGGCATCTAGTGGGACAGAGGCCAGGGATGCTCAACATCTTACAATGCCCAGGATAGGCACCCTCAACAAAGACTACTGGCCCAAATGTCAACAGTGCTAAAGTTGAGAAATTCTCAGCTAGACGTTTCTCATATTTATATTGTCCAATTTTCCCAGTAGACTGAAGTTTATTAATGTTATGTTAGATATCGTTCAACGTCTACAAAATGTATTGATGAATCAGGTGACACAAAAATGGTCATGATGGCGATGATTCCAAGAGCAAACAAAACAGAACAAATGAAATACCTACTGGTAGGAGAATAGTTATAAGGCTTCCAAACAAGACTATTACACCTGATATTACAGTTGACTCTTCAGCAACAAGGGTTTGAATTTTGTGGACCCACTTATATATGAATTTTTTTCCCAACCAAATGCAAATTAAAAAAATACAGTATTCTTGGGATGTGAACTCCACTTATAGAGAGGGCCAACTTTTTGTATACTCGGGTTCCACAGGACCAACTTTGGAACTTGGGTATGCTTGGATTTGGGGATGTGTGGGAGTCCTGGAGCCATTCTTTCATTTGCCGAATGGTTATCGTATGGCTACACTATATGAACCAATCTATATTAAATATTTTTAATGAGGAAAAAAGTTCTTGATTATATCCAGCATGATAGCCTTTTTATGAAGTTAAAAAACTAAAAAATAAACATTGTTTAGGTATACACTCATAGGAGATAAGCCTATTCTTAAAAGGCAAGGGAAAACAAAATTCAGGATAGCTACACTGAACATGAGTGACAGGAAGAAGCCTTAAAGGCTAGAGGAGGAACACGTGTAGATGTAGAGCCATTGTCTGTCTCAGTTTTGGGGTTGGGCAATGGGTTCACAGGTGTTTGTTATATTACTTAACACAAGGTCAAAAACGATCATGATTTGAACAATGGTAACAGTTTATTATGCTAAGGATTATAATGCATCTGACTTAAAGAATTACATTGAACAAAAAGGCTGTTGAAAAATGAGTATCAAAAGTGAGTATCAATAATAGCAAATAGTAATAGTAAAGATAATATAATAGTAAAAACAAGTAGTAAGAATTACTGAAAACTTATTTTGTGCTGTTTCACTGTTCTAAGCACCTTCTGTGGATTAACTCATTTAATCCTCAACTATCTCATGCACTAGATACTATTAACCTCATCTTGCAGCTGAGGAAACTGAGGTTAACTTCCCTATGTCCCTAACTAGGAAGGGGAAGAGAAGCGATTTAAACTCAGGTTTAAATCCGGCTCCACAGCAGATTCTTCATCACCTCATTATGTTGCTTCTCCAACTGCAAATATAGAACAGCAGGAACATATTAAGCCCTGTAACTGTCTTTGGTCAGAATTTCAAACACTGGCTCCAACTTAAGATGTTAGAAAAGGCTTACTGCCTTTATGAAAGGCAATTTTGCATAACATTTAGGTTGCCTGGGTTGACTCTGACTCTACTGATTTCCAACCTTAGGCAAGTTTCTTAACCTCTCTGTGCCTTGTTTTCTTATCTGCAAAAAGGGCATACAGTACCTCTACATAGGGTTGTTACAAGGAATAAGTTATTATATGTAAAAATACACAGAATAGTCCTAGCACACAATACGCAAATACTGACCATTATGGCTATAGTCACTATAGACTCATTATTTCTGGTATGGTATGTCTCGTTAAGCGTATCACTCCACCAAAGCAGTTCTTCACTGCATCTTCAAAGAGAATGTTTTCAGCTGTGCCTTAACTCACACACTAGTTCAGCATCTCCATATCCCTAACAACTAGTATTTAGGACAGCTGTCCCCTTCAGAGGCTGCACTTTTCCTTTACCCTGGTACTCCTAGAATGCATGACCCAATATGAAGAATGCCTATACCCATGGCCCTTTCTTTAAGAGTTAATCAAGCCCTCTAGGAATGTCTCACCTGTCCGATTTATAACACTGTCAGAGTAATTTTTCTAAAAACTTTATAGTTATCACAATGGCACTTCTTTCCTGCCTGATTCCCCTTATTGCTACTGTGGTGGTTACAGAACTTCCGAAATCGTAGTAAAGTATGAGAGAATGCATATACTTTCTTCCCCTCCTCTCTCAGTAGCGCTTTTATGATCAGGTCCCTCTTACTTTCCTATTTCCTTGGCTGCAGCCAAGCCGAACGCTCCGCTATGCCCAAACATCTCCTACACTTTTACGTCTCGGAATCTTCTCTGCCTTCAAAACCAAATTTTCAAAGAGTTGTCTTAAAAGCCTTCTTTAACACCCCCTGGGTTAAATAAATCCTCCTTCAGTGTTTCCACAGCACTTTCTACACACCAGGGTTATAATCCCAAACAAAAAAGTCACACTAGAATGCATTTTCGCTTATGCCCCTCCCCGCCAGGCCGGGGGCTCTACAAGAAGGGGCAGGCGGATTGGCCCCGAATCCGCAGCGCCCCACACTATGTCTGGTATGTAATCGGTTCCCACTCAATCTGGCAGGGCGAGTGAATGAACCGTTGGTTGGCTTAATCCGTTTCCCCAGGAAACGCGCCAAGAGGAGCAGGGCCGAAGACGCAGAGGCGCTACTTTCCTGGTCCAACCCCTACAGAGTACGAAAACAGCGACCCTGGGCAGGGTCCCCGCAGCAAACAGCAGCCCCCGAACACACAGCAAGCTTAATAGTCACCGGGTGAATGAAACGCGCTGCCTCCTGGTGCCCTGGCTGTCACCCAAAGCGTCCCGCGTAGCCCTCACAGCGTTTCTGCCAGTACCTGCGGCCCCTCCCCGCCGGGCCTGCGCTTGCCGCCACTGCGTACCATTCTACAGCTGCAGCACCAGCAGAATTCCCGGATCCGCGACTGCTTCCGGGCGCCGCCAACTGCTTCCGGGTTCAAAAGCTTCCAATCCGAATCCCAGCACCGCCCGGGCGCGCCAATTTAGATGAAAGGTTCCGCCCATGCCCCGCCCCCTGAGACCTGGCTCTTGGCGCATTGAGGCCCCACCCACTCCCGGGCTGGGCGTGGGGAAGGTGCGTCTTCAGTCAGCGTGGTCCGCATCTAGGCTTTCTGAAGCATCTTCCAGGGTCGCTCCAGAGACCCCCAGACTACTAAACCTGAATCCGCTCGTGTGGTCCAACCTTCCTCTTCAGGTGTCTACTAGAGACAAGGTTGGATGTATGCGGCTGCCCTCAATACAGCCCCTTCCTTGTTTTTTCATTTGTATTTACTTAAAATGTTAATACTTTCCTCCTTCTCCTCCATCCCTCTCCCTCCCCTACTGTACGGTTATTGGCTTACACTAATTCATTCCTGATTATCTCCGAGAAGGAGATAAATGTCTGTGTGTGTCTCTCTCTGTACCGTAGTCTTCTTGTTACGATTTGGACTGTTTTTTCTCTACACCCCGATAGGCAAAATGTAGTCCCTGAACCAGCAACCTCAGCATCGTGAGGGAATTTGTTAAAAACGCCAAATCGCAGGGCCGACCCAGACTTACTGAATCAGCATCTGCATTGCAACAAGATCCCCTGGTAATTCCTATGCACATCAAAATTTGGAAGGCACAGCCCTCAACTGATGTCCTTGGGTCTCCTTCACATCCGTCCTAGAAAGGTCTTATTCCTTATTCTTGATATGAGTTCCCTATTTCCTGAATTTGTATCTTCCTTTTTCTTGATTATATACCCTCGTGTTGTGGAACATATCCTCCAATAGTTCCTTGAGGGAGGTTGCCGCCAGGTCTTTTTTCCCACAGAGTGTGTGCATCTGGAACTGTTTTTATTCTGGCTGAGCACAGAATTCTAGGTTGAAAATAACTTTTACTCGGAATATTGGAGGGCTTGTACCACAATATTTTAGCTTCTAGAATTGTTGAGAAACTCTACGTTATGATATTTCCTTCTGCTTCACAGGTCACTAAATTTCTTGATATGAAACTCACTTTCGTTTCTGTTTTGTTTTGTCACAAAAGCTTTAGGATCTTCTTTTTATTCCCAGTGTTCTGAGACATAATCGAGTGTTTTGGTTATGGGTCTTTTCTCATTCCTGTTGATCAGTTTTTCAATCCTGAAACACACGTTCTTCAGTTGTGGGAATTCTTCTGGGAGATTTGATCATTTCTCTCCCCTCCCCCCACCACTGTATCTTTTATTTTTTGAAATTTGTTATTTAGATTGTGGACCTTCTTGACTGATAGTTTTTCTTTCCTGTCTGTCCTACTTTCTGTCTCTTTATCTTTTTGTTCTACTTTCTCCGTGACTTTTTCAACCTAATTGGACAAATGACTATCAGATTATTTTATTTCTTTTATCATACCTTCATTACTAAGTGCCCTTTTTATTCTCTGTTCTTTTATAGCATTACATTATTTTTTTCATGAATATAGCTGCTTTTATCTCTGAAGATGTTAATTATTGGGTTTTTAAAATGCTGTCTACAAAACTCTGCATTAACTTTGATTGTTTTGAGTCTTTTTCGGTTGGTTGATTATGTTTGGTCCCTGTCATTTCTGCTAGAGGCATTCTTCATCTTGTGTGGTGTTCCTTGCTGTCAATTTGTATGTAAAAGTGATACTCTAAAAAGATGCTTTGGGGAAATAGGCAAGGCTTGTTCACTGCTGGACAAGGTGTAAGATGATGGGGCAAGGACCAGCTGTTTATTTTGTTCTAGAGAATAATATTCTAATTACTTGCTTTGAGAATATACAGCCTTTATGGGGTGCCCAATGCAGGAAGGAGGCTGGAAGTCTTAATAATTTCATTATATGCACTGTGTTAGTGGGGGTTCTCCAGAGAAACAGAACGAATAGATATCTGTATCTGTACCTATATCTGTATCTATCTATCTGTTAGCTCACATGATTATGGGGGTCAAAAAGCACTATAATCTGCTGTCTGCAAGTTGAAGACCAAGAAATCCCATGTTGTAGCTTGTAGCCCTGATAACTGCAGAGCTGGTGGTATAGATTCCAGTCTGAGTTTGAAGTCCTGCAAACCAGGATTGCCGAGGGCAGGAAAAGATCAAAGATTCAGTTCAAGAAGTCTAGCAGAGAGAAAGTGAATCCTCCCTTCCTCTACCATTTTGTTTTATTCAGAGCCTGAATGGGTAAGATGATGCCCACCCACATTGGTGAGGGTGATCACTTTTACTCAGTGCCCTCACAGACACTCAGAAATGCTGTTTAACCAGATATCTGGGCATCCTGTGGTCCAGTCAAGCTGACACATATTGTCTGTCAACCAAGGGGAAAGAGGATGATGTTACTCTTATATCACAAGGAATATACACCCCCCCCACCGTGATATTGTTCATAATATCCAGGAGGGAAGAGGATAATATTGCTCCTCATATCACAGGGGGTGTACAGACTTCTGTGATAGTGTTCATAATAACCAGGGAAGGAGAAGATACTATTACTCCCCATATCGCAGGGCGTGTACACCCCCCTGTGAAATCATTTGTAATCTTCTGGGCGTGAGTTTAATATTGCTTTTTATATCACAGGGGGTGTACACACTCCTGTGATATTGTTCATGATATCCAGGAGGGGAGAAAATGATGTTATTCCTCATATCGCAGAAGTTGTACAATCTGCTTCGATATTCTTCATAATGGCCAATGGAGGAGAAGATAATATTACTGCCCAAATCTCAGGGTGTGCATAGCCCCCTGTGATAATGTTCGTAATATCCAGGTGGGGAGAGGATAATATTACTCCCCTTATCACAGGGTGCGTACATCTCCCTATGATATTGTTCATAATATCATGTAAGACTCCCATAAAGAAACTCTCCCTAGTGCCAGTCTTTGCTGTCTCATCCTTACGAGCAGCCCAACCTGAATCCTCTCTCAGGATGCACTGTCTCATCTGCACCTAGCTTTCAGAATACTCTTTCTTCTTTGCAATAAATTGTTCTATGCTGCCTCTCCTTTGCTATGTGTCTCTTGTCTAAATTCTTTGAAACTAAGGAGACAAGAATGGAGGTTTCACAACAGCCATCAACAAAACCATTTACTATCCCCCATCCATTTTTAAATGAAATGGAAGAAAGGTACAGCTGAGTTTTAATTTGGGATTGATCAGAGTGACACAGGTACCTCTGGTTCCTTTTCTTCCTCTTTTTTCTCTTTTCCTCTTATGGTCTTATTGTCAGTCCCTTTCTGCCATTCAGTTAGAACAAAACCTTTCTCTGTTAAATGCTAGAATGTTTAGTGCCTATAACTATCTTCTTCTGTTATGAGGATAAAATAAAATAAATAACAAGTGAAGAGCTTAGTTAGAGCTCTGGAACTGTCCATTGCTGGACTAACTTCATGGACACATAACCTGTGCGGTCTTACAGAATCCCATGCCTAGCAGCGACCCACACTTGGTTTAATGCTCTGCTATCATTGTCTTGAAATTCTTAATAATTTTTGAACGAGGAAATCCACATTTTTATTTTTCACTGGGCCCCTCAAATCCAGTAGCTAGTCCTAGTTAGCCCTAAAGAGGAAAGATCATGCTTTTAGCTAGCACTGACCTCTAATGCAACTCTCATTGCTGACAATATGTGACTCTCAGAATCCTAAAGATTTACCTTTGTGGGTGTACATTCAGACACCAATTGTTCTTTCTGTCTGTTGCCACTACGAGAGAGCTAAAAAAAGGAGTTGCTGTGTTATATATTTAAGACATAGTTGTCTCTCACATACCACAAAGAAAATTGAGCTGCTTTAAAATCAAAGGATCAGTGTGATTGGAGATCTGCAGCATTTTTAAAAGCACGCCCCCAGCGTCACCTGCTTCTCTGATTCCCAGGACAAAGCAGTAAGATCCTCTGCTCTCATAAAAATAACTGTTGTATCAGTCAGAGTTCTCCAGAAAAACAGAACCAGTAGGACATATATAGATATATAGGAAGGAATTGGCTCACTTGATTATGACAGATGAGAAGTCCTATGGTCTGCTGTCTGAAAGCTGGAGGCCCAGAAAAGCCAGTAGTGCAGTTCTGATCTAAGCCCAAAGGCCTGAGAACCAGTGGCCAGTGGTGTAAATTCAAGTCCATGTCCAAAGGCCTGGAGAACCAGGAGTACTGATGTCCAAGGGCAGGAGAAGATGGCTGTCCCAGTACAAGCAGAAAGCAAATTTGCCTATCTTCTGCCTTCTTGTTCTATTCAGGTCTTCAGTGGATTGGATGTTGCCCACCCACATTGGTGAGGGTGATTTTCCTTAGTCTATTGATTCAAATGCCAGTATTTTCTGAAAACACCCTCATAGACACTCCCAGAAATAATGACTTATCAGCTACCTGGTCATCCCTTAGCTCAATCAAGTCAACACATTAAAATTAACCATCACAACCATAGTGGAGTGTCATCTTTATTTATGAATCCATGTGTCCCACAAACACCTCTTGAGTGCCTATGAGGAGCAAAACACTCTCTTACCCACTAGGGTTCTAACTGTGAACACATCACAGTTAGAGGCTCCTGTCCTCCTTGAGGTCACAGTACAGTGGGAAAGATTAGGTGTTACAGGCAGTGCTGGATGAAGAGGTACTGAACACCTTAGGTGTACATGAGGGAGCATAATGCAAGAGGGGGATCAAGGAGAATTCTGGAGAACAGGAGTTCTAATTTGATACCAGAAGAATGAAAGGACAGGAGAAATATCACTTTAGTGATGGTTGGCCTAGGGAAATGAGAGAACTTTATATAGAAATCTACTAAGGATGGTTTTGAGGTCAGATTGATCTGGGTTTGAGTATTCTTTCTGTTGCTAACTAGCTGTGTGACCTCAGAAAAGTTACTTAACTTCTCTGAGCCTCTATTTTGTCATCTGTAAAATAGAGACATAGTACCTACTTCACTTGATTGTGATAAAGATTAAGGAGTTAATTTC